GTAATGAAAAGGAATTTTTTTTTTTGTACTAAAAGATAGAGCTTTTTCTCCTCTTGCAAATCGTATGTCAATTATTTCTATAACAGGTTCATTAACGAAACGACACAACAGAACAGAGAAGCACCCTTAAAGAGAATCTGCACGTTTCGTGAGATTCAGAAAAACGGCACAAAATCTTGGTCTCTACAACTCTTCGACAAACAAGTTTCAAATCGAATATTTTTTTTTATCATTTGATAATAAATTTTCTTCTCTTTCGAACAGTGTATGATTTATATTCGTCACACATTCTTAAATGAAATGAGACGAGAAAGAAACGAGAAAAACTCGCGCAATAAATTTCTAATTTTTAAATGACTCGTCAAGAACATCTTGTTCGACAACAATTGAATCGATCTTTGTGAACTTGTTAAAAACATCTTGTAAACCGGCAGTTAATTTTAATTAAATGGCGTCAACAAGATTTTTTTAACGAAGTCAAATAAAAATGATAAAACTATTGCATGAATGCTTGTCTTTTTTTTTCTCGTCTCGTTTCACTAACTAATGTGGGATAATTATGAATGGCACACTGTTCGAAAGAGAAAGTTAATTGCCTATCAATTGATTAAAAAATATTCTTTTCAGAAGTTTTTTTATCGTAGAAATGTAAGAATCGACATTCTTTTGCAGTCCTTTACAGAAGAGTGTGAGTTATTTTTAAGAGTGCTTCTCTTTTCTGTTCCATCGTTTCGCTTATGAACATGCTATAAAAATTAACTGCATACGATTCGAAAGAGGAGAGAATTCTCTATCATCTGGTAAAAAAGTTTTCTTAGAGTACTTTTCTATGGAGGAGAAATAGGGTCCGACATTTACCCCATTACTTTTGCATCATAGATTACGTAACTTGTATGAATTCTAATGGTAGATTTTCTAAGGAATATTTTGCTCAGCAATTTTGTTCGATGAATTCAAGTGATGGTCTGCAACTGTTATGGCTGAAACAAAAGAAAAAAAAGAAAAATCTGCTGCTACTATTATGCACGTAATGATCTTTTCTTCAAGAAATGACGACGTAAATATTACTATTCATTCCGTCGCGGACTCCAGAGTATACATTACTGCGCAATTTTTTATAAGAGAGAAAAAAAATTCGTTCTCAATGCTTCATGCTCGCAAGAGATTTTCTTTTTTTTCTTTTCTATTACGACATTTACGACCCACATCACTAAAAGAATCTACACAACACGAAGTGTATGTCATTTTCTGTATGGCAAAGTATCTTAGTAAAAAAAATTGGTAATTTTATACGATACATTTATACAGTATAAATTAACCATACAGAGTTCATCGTATAGAATTTGCCATAACAAATCTAGCAAACAGATTTGACATTTCAAATTCAGAATGATACTGTTTTTTTTCTATTTTACTATGTTCAACTAGGATTTTTCATTTTAATTTCCTATTGTCTTTTGATGTTGAAAAATGTTCTTATATATTCTTATTTTGTCGCATATTTAAGATTTTTATCAGAAAGCGTAGATTCTTCTATCATACCTATTTACAAATTAACTATCATCTACTTCGCTCATCTCATCTTCAACACAAATTAAAAAAAAGGATGCGTGAAATTGTTCATATGCAAGCTGGTCAATGTGGTAATCAGATTGGTTCTAAAGTTAGTTGATATCTTTTGAATTGAATATGTTCTTATAAAATCTCGATGTGTTTCTAGTTTTGGGAAGTGATTTCGGACGAACACGGTATTGATCCCACGGGCACGTATCATGGCGATTCGGATCTTCAACTTGAACGTATCAATGTCTACTATAATGAAGCAGCTGGTGAGTAGAGGATAAAAAAACAAAATGCATCGATATTATTGCTCTTTCGTTTCAGGTGGCAAATATGTACCACGTGCTATTCTCGTCGATCTTGAGCCAGGCACAATGGACTCAGTGCGCAGTGGTCCATTTGGTCAGCTTTTTCGTCCGGACAATTTTGTCTTTGGTAAGTATAAATATTTTTTGTTTACTTTGTCTCATGTTTTCTAATCATTTTAGGACAATCGGGTGCTGGTAACAATTGGGCCAAAGGTCATTATACGGAGGGTGCAGAATTGGTTGATTCAGTCTTGGACATCGTACGAAAAGAGGCTGAATCATGCGATTGCCTTCAAGGTTTTCAACTAACACATTCGCTCGGTGGTGGTACTGGTTCGGGCATGGGCACATTGCTTATCGCAAAAATTCGAGAGGAATATCCGGATCGTAAGTTAATTCTTAAGAGTGATACGAGAACTTCCATCATTCTCATTTTCTTGTAGGTATCATGATGACATTCAGTGTTGTACCATCACCGAAAGTGTCTGATACTGTTGTTGAACCGTACAATGCAACATTATCAATACATCAATTAGTCGAAAATACAGATGAAACATACTGTATTGACAATGAAGCCTTGTATGATATTTGCTTTCGTACACTTAAACTTACAACACCTACATATGGTGATCTTAATCATCTCGTTTCAGCTACAATGTCAGGCGTAACAACGTGCCTTCGATTTCCCGGTAAATTTTTCTTAGAATTTCCGACTAATATACATTATTTTCTATAATTTAAACAATTTTCTCGGTCAACTCAATGCTGATTTACGGAAACTGGCTGTTAATATGGTACCATTTCCGCGTCTTCACTTTTTTATGCCAGGTTTTGCACCATTAACATCACGTGGTTCTCAACAATATCGTGCATTGACTGTACCCGAACTTACACAACAAATGTTTGATGCAAAAAATATGATGGCTGCATGTGATCCACGTCATGGCCGATATTTAACAGTTGCTGTTATTTTTCGTGGTCGTATGTCAATGAAAGAAGTCGATGAACAAATGTTAAATGTGCAAAATAAAAATTCATCTTATTTTGTTGAATGGATTCCGAATAATATTAAAACAGCTGTCTGTGATATTCCTCCACGTGGACTTAAAATGTCGGCAACGTTTATTGGTAAGAATTCAAAAAGAACAAATTGTTTCAGTTTTATTATGATATTCCATTTTTTTATTATATTTTAGGTAATACCACGGCAATTCAAGAATTATTCAAACGTATTTCGGAACAATTTACGGCTATGTTCCGTCGTAAAGCATTTCTTCATTGGTACACTGGTGAAGGCATGGACGAAATGGTGAGCTATACTTTTCGTATTTCTTATAGTCTCATGCCTTTTGTTTTCGACTTCGCAGGAATTTACTGAAGCTGAGTCGAATATGAACGATCTTGTCAGTGAATATCAACAATATCAAGATGCCACTGCTGAAGGTTAGTACATTTCGGGTTGTATTCTATCTATATCTTAATTGTGTTCTCTTTTTTATTGCAGAAGAGGGTGAAGGTGGTGAACAGGAAGATGAAGAACACGCATAAACGGCGACGACGATCGACATAAAGAACTTTGTTTCATTTTTTTGCATGACAAAATTTAAAATTCTGACTTTTCTTTTCCATTACTTTACTTTCTCATTTTTTGGTTCCTTATCCATACGTATTTTAGAGTCAAAAATATTCTTCTTTTAATAAAGGCTCTTTTCTATTTATGGCTGATGACTGCAGCCCTACATGACCATGTTTTTTGTTCACAGTGACGGATGTCCGTTTCTGACTCCATTCATAGGAATCCGGTAACACATAGTGACTTCTACAAAATCAAATAAAAGGTATGCCTGAACATCTCGGCATGTTTGAAAACGTGTAGAAACGAATTTTCAAGTGGGTTCCCGTTACTTTGGAACGGGACAGAGAACATTGGCACCTTACATAAAGGTCCTAATTGAACAGCATAAGGCGAAAACAAAGTCTAAAATCTAAAACATATTTTTTCATTTGTTGAGGGTGTATGTGGATGGGGTGTAGTCGTCGTTACGGAGAATATCAAAATCCTCTACCATACCGACACCCACACCCCAATAAGTATTGAGGCTATCGTTGGTGGAACAAAGAAGAAAAAACAGAAAACATCATGGCATTTTGAGCAGTTGAAATTCTTCTTATCTATGGAGAAGGCATAACCTGGCAGCTGTGAGTCTAGGAAAGCTTTTGATTTAGGTAGCCTTGAGAACCGCTTGATAGGAAGAGAAGGTTACTATGATAGTTATTGATAATTCTTTAAGCGACTTTCGAGAACGTTGATATTTGTTGCTGTTGAAAGCAAACCTTTATCTTGAAGGAGCGTCACTTGGAGAACAAGATGACATGAGTTGCATCTTCCATCATTTCAAAATTAGTCAATTCTAATAAAAAAAACTCAAGACCGTCTTAGAAATCAATTATAATGATATAGTACTTGAATTATATAAGTTTTCCAAACGTACTTCACTACACGCGCACAATTACAGACACAAGAATTTGAAACTGAACCACTTTGTTTGTTATCATCAATCATGTTTTTGAAAATGCGTGCATGATTATATATTTCTGATTAGGACAGTTTCATTGTCGCTACTGTTGTTCTGGATAAAAAAAAGTCATGAAGTACAAAAGTGAATAGATTCTAGGAAGCTTTTCTAAATACAGTGTCGTGGTCAAATCAAATACATGTGCCCTTTTAGAGATGAATAGTAACAGTATTTGCAACAACTAGTCATCAAAAACTGTAGATTTTCTCAATGGTAGCACTATTCGTCAAAATACAAGTGTTATGATTCAACATGTAAATATCGAGGCATCATCTTTGTGTATGTTGTTTCTTTTCTTTCTTCTCTCCTTTGATATATATATGTGTGTGATGTTACAGTCAGTTGGTGTTTTTTATAAAATAAAAACAGATTATGTTCTACTGAATATGAATTTATATTTTGCCCTTATAAAAAAAGTAGAACATAACAGTGGTGACAGCGATGATTTAAGTACAAATCAAAGTTAGCTGCTATTTATTTTAATTACTTTGGATTTTTGGGAACATCCTTATTTGAGGATTGTGCCTAATTTTTTTTATTATATGTTATCATTAGTATGCCTAAGAGCACTCGGTCAAATTTAAATTTACATACAACTTCTATCTCTGAATTCCAATATAAATCTTCTCGTCAACAAGTAAAAGGTGAATTATCTCTTCAAATTGATCCTATTACAACTATGTCGACAGCACATTATATTGCGGAATTGGATGATGATCCCAAAAACCAAGTTATAGATTCTGTACGTTTATCTCAAGAATATATCGAAACATTTCGTGAATTAGAACAACAACGATTAAACTCCATTAAACTATTGACTGAAGAAGAAATGATAAATATTGATCAATACTTACTAAATTTACAAAATATCTATGATGAGTTACGTTATTCAAATTTATTTCGTGCACAATATTCTACGACACATTTTCAAGAGAAAGAAAAAATACCGTATGAACAACACAAAAAAGAAATAAATGGTGGTTGGTTATGTTTTTGTAATAAATTAAACCAACACGTTTATAATCGATTGAAAATTGGTATATTGATTATGCTAGAAAAGATCATGCATCACTATCTTTGCATGAATTAGTCCAACTTAGGCAACTCATTCGTGATAAATTTACTAAATATTCAGGCAATGGTGATGCTGAAATGTGGTTAGCCAAGACAGTTACTCAATTTAAACAATATCAATTATCACCGTCTGAGCAACTTCAAGCCATACCATATTTATTGGATGGGTGTGGATGTGGGTGCGGGTGGATGTGGGTGCGGGTGGGTGTGGATGTTGGTATGGGTGTGGGTGTGGGTGCGAGTGTGGGTGTGGGTATGGGTGTAGGTGTGGGTGCAGGTGAGCGTGGGTGTGGGGTGTGGGTACAGGTGAGCGTGGGTGTGGATGGGTGTGGGTGCAGGTGAGCGTATGTGTGGGTGTGGGTGTGGGTGCGTGGGTGTGGGTGCGTGGGTGGGTGTGGGTATGGGTGCGTGGGTGGATGTGGGTGTGGGTGTGGGTGTGGGTGAGGTGTGGGTGTGGGGGTGTGGGTGTGATTAAAGAGAGGAATATCACCCACACCTACACTCACCCACACCCCACACCCCACACCCACACACCCACACCCCACACCCATACCCACACCCACACACCCACATCCACATCCACACCCACATCCAGACCCACACACCCACACCCTTCCATAAAAAAGCAGTATGGCCATCACTAAATAGCACCTAGACTAGGGGTGGGAAGTTACCGTTCCCAGACCGTTATCCGGGAACGGTAGCGGTAACGGTTCCTATGGAAGGAGTTACCAGTTACCCGAGTAACTGGTAACGGTCCCGTTACCAGTTACTTTTCCCTGGTAACTTTTTGAAAAGACTAAATATCACTTCTATTGGACCGAATATTGACAATACACCAGTAAAAAAAACTTGGAGTTACCCTGGCAACTGTTACCCGTTACCAGTTACCTGGGAACGGGTCAACTTAAAAAATAACGTAGTTGCAAAATTCTGTTGATGGGAAGTAATAATTCATCTTTTTAGAGAAGTTACCAGGAAAAAGTAACTGGTAACGGTCCCGTTACCAGTTACCCAGGTAACGGTAACGGGACCGTTACCGTTACCCGGGAACGGTAATGGTAACTTCCCACCCCTAACCTAGACTGCAACGAGACAAAAGTGCTATAAGTTAACCTACTCTCAGACCTTAGGACATTCTTACCCAATATCTGTGGGAGCCTCAATCTAAATCTGTATCAATAGTCATCTCTTTTCGTATATAATGTAGGCTGAAAAGAGACTAAGGAACTATGTCTGCCGAATACAAAATGTCTCTCACGTAAACACAAAATCTTACCGAAGTTGTATGTCGTGATATAGGAATGAAGATCAGCGTCCAAGAATATAAATGTTTTATTTTGCAAAAAATAAAACATTTAAAACCATGATGTAATAATGAAGAAAAATAAACAACAACCGAATTGAAGAAGAAAAATCAACAAGGAGAACGGACATCAAATGGTCGACATCAGAAAGGATTAAAAGAAGGAAAAAACAGGAATAGAATAAGAACCAGTTGACATCGACGAGTCACATCTACTGACGCTAACATGAGCATGAATGGAACGTCTGAAACATGTTCCTAAACAAATCGGCTGCTAACTTCACTTAGGTCGTTTTGTTCAATTTATCTGTTCTCTCAATGTAAAAAATATCGAGAGCAAACAAAGTTATAGCTTTGTTTTTTTCCCACATGACGTCACCCACAATGATTCACTAAAAACAAACTGAAAATTGAAATTTGTGTTGTATTACTTTTCGAGGTAGCTGCTGTTGATCTCACTGGGAAAAAAGCCTTTATAAGAAAAGGCATTATTCTGCAGAGAATAAGTTTGCTTTCGTTTTACATTTGAATTCTTCTTCTTCACACAAAACTTGTTTGCGACACAATTTTTCCCCAGTAGGTACAGTATATTATGTGCGGCACCTAAATGTGCGCGACACTATTTTTCCATAGCAGATGCGGCACATTCTAGATTAGACCTAACCATATGTGCGATTGTAATTAGATTTTTCTGAAGCTCTATTCACCCGAGTTTACACATCATTAAGCTCTTCCACTAAAAGTACTCCCTTTCTATAACTGTTCTCCTTCCCTATTGAGTTTTCTCTTATATCCCATTCACCTAATAACATCTTGCTATTCCTTATACTATCCCGTTTCCTTTATCTCCTTTCCCTTATTTCATGCCCATTTCCTTCTCTGTTATTCCATTCCCCTATCCTCAAGGGGAAAACAGTGGATTTCAAGAGACTTCAACGCACTTCAAATGACTCCAAACGAAGTTAAAAGACTTCACGCGACTTCTAAAGAGCACGAGACTTCTATAGACTTCATGAGACTTCTCAGGACTTCTAAAAACTTCAAGAGACTTCATGAGACGTCATAAGATTTTTAAAAAACTTTAAAATCGCATAAGCGTTCAAGAAATCTTAAAAATTGCCTCAAATTTTTCCAACATGCGTAAACGCTACCTATTACAATCATGCAAAACAGCTAGTCAGTAATCTGAATATACCAACTTTGTTAAAAAAATTTACTACTTTTGAACTCAATAGTTTGAGCAGGTGTGGGTGTGGTGTGGGTGTCATGTGGGTGTAGATGAAGAATTATCACACATCCACACCCACCTGCACCCACGCCCTTCTTCTCGGACTTTCTTCTTTCTTTCGGCTATCATACACTAATGTCATGTTCTCTCCCTCGCTTTTCTTGACGTATTATCATGAAGCTTTTATGTAACCATTTTGGGCCAAACACAGTAAATTGATTGAAGAACCATTTGTCGATTGAAAAAAATTCCGTTCGCAAAGGATTAGTTGAGAGACTTTTCAATTTAGGAATTTTTTGAATGTAATGTGTGCAATGCATAATGTAATTCAATACAATCTTACTTCTATTATACTGAAAATTTTATATCTTAAAAACCAAGTACTTTAGTGAATGTTGTGCTGTCGGTAAGTCTACTATGGTCATCAGAATTGTTTTGTACGCATTCTCTAAATTCGCTTACACATATTTACATTTCATTTTTCTTTTTTTGTTCGTCCTCCAGTATATATGTCGAGGAAAGAACAATGAAATGTAAATGTATGTGTAAGTGAATTCAGAGAATGCGTACAAAACAATTCTGATGACCATAGTAGACTTACCGATAGCACAATATTCGTTAAAGTACTTGATTTTCAAGATATAGAGTTGATAGTATGATATAAGTAGGATGGCATCGAATTACATTATGTATTGCATACATTATATTCAACAAAAATTCCTAAATTGAAAAATCCCTCAATTAAAACTCCTATCCGGTCACCAGTGCAGACATTAATTGCTTAATTAGCTATAAATGTGGATATGATTTAGGAATAAATTCAGGAATCCACATTTGTGGCAAATGATGGCCATTCATAGTAGGGTGGGTGTGGGTGCTGTGGGTGTGGGTGTGGGTGTGGGTGTGAGTGTGGGTGTGAGTGTGGGTGGGTGTGGGCGCGGGTGTGAGTGTGGGTGGTTGTGGGTGCGGGTGTGGGTGTGGGTGTGGGGTGTGGATTGGCGGTGCGAATAATCGTACCATCTACACTCAACCACACCCACACTCCACGCCCACACCCACACCTCAATCACACCCACACCCCACACCCCACACACCCCACACCCACACCCACACCCACACCCACACATCTACACCCACACCCACTCATTTTAGAACGTGTTTCACAAAAGTTGAATCAACCTAGCCCATTAGGACCTCTGGTCGGTGCTCTGGCGGACCCTCTCTTAATATTTTCAATCTTCTAAATTAAGATTCACACCAGAAACATTCTGCTACAAAAAATCAATGTTTTACATATATAATGAATCAAAGATTAATATTTCAACTCCAGTCGATTTTGCTTTTCCCTTCTATCTAAAGAATAGATCAACTGCACAACATTAACAATAATAATAATAATAACTGTAATAGCAGTTGGTATGTCTGCCAATCGTCATTACATTATATTTTTTTGTTAATGCTGTGCATTTTATCTATTCTTCAGATGGAAGGAAAAAACAAAGTTACAATATTAATCTTCGTTTCATCATATATGTGAGATATTGATTTGATTTGAACTTTATATAGATTTGTTAAATGGTATAAATGAATTTCGAATCGTGTTCGTCGTTCGAGCAACGGTAATGGTCCGTTATTATTCGATCTGTCTGTAGTTAAAAATGTCACAAATATTGGGTCTATCTCTCCGTTGCATCAATTACAATAACCGGCTCATAGCAGCTTGCGGCGGCGGATTAATCCTTGAGACCTTGACCAAGCCGACGAGGGAAAATGCGCTGTGGACACTTACGTACCATCTCTCATCATGGATTCTGGTTAACCAAGTTTCTTCGATGTGTCTCACTTTCGATACGAAGAGCAAGCTTATCAGCAGCTTAGAGGGAAACAGGTTAACATCTAACGAGCCGCTGAAAGTTAAGGACGGCGACCGTCGCTTACTGCTTCGGTTATCGTCCGCTGCTTCTGCTGCTGCGGAAAATAAGCTCGGTCTTGAACTACTTGCCGAGAATGACCTCGACGGTAAAGCTTCCAGTGTCTTTTTCGTTTGCGAAGGATTCGATCAAACATTTCGCGACATTGATCCTAACTTCTTAAGCAGCCGCCCTACTACTACCAAGACCACTGCCGACTTAGTTGACAATTATTACGACTACGTTGTGATTGGTTCTTCGTTTTGTTCTCTGGGCTTCATTCACCAGACTTTGCAGAACAATCCAAGGGCAAAAATCATTGTGTTGGAGAAAGGCTTGAAGTATTTATCTCAACACCATCAGCATTGCTCTTCATCTTCCCTTTCAGGAGAAGTGGAATGTAGACCCTGGTCTATCTCTCATGAAACCATACAGAACGAATTTGTTAAGAACGTGCATGGTCAGATACCATTGTTTGGAGGAAGATCTACCTATTGGAGTGGATGGAGCCCAACACCCTCATTCAAAGAACTGGTTGGATGGCCAGAAGATCTCACGACTCCATTGCAAGA